GAACTCAGAGTAACAAAACTGCACTTAGGATGGAGAGCATGGTGGCAGAAGTGTCACTTGGACTCCAAACTGGACTCTACCTTATGCCCAGAGTCTTGTTAACTTTTTTAATACAGTTAGTTCCTCCATTTTGGGGCCCTAAGCCGCTCAGGCCACAGGGTGTGTAAAGGGGCTGAAATTCCATGCTCCCTACAGTAGACAGAACAATGCCCCCTCCCCAGCCACCCACCCAGATATATTCACATTCTAATCTTGGAACCTGTGAATGTGTTAACTTACTCGGTAAAAAGGACTTTGCAGATCTGATTCAGTTCAGGATCTTGAGATGGCGATATTATCTTGTAATATCTGGATGGACCCAATGTAATTGCACCATTTCTTAGAAGGAGGGAGGCAACCTTGGAGAGAGAGAAAGAGAGAGAGAGAGAGAGAGAGAGAGAGAGAGAATATGCAAGTGGCCTCTAGGAGCTGGAAAAGGTAAGGAAACAGATTCTATCCCAGAGTCTCCAGAAGAATTGCAGCAATGCCGAGAATTTGACTTTTAGCCCAAATAAGACCTCCAGAACTCTGAGATAATAAATCTGTATTGTTTTAAGTCATTAACTTTGTGGTCATTGTTTTAGCAGCTATAAGAAACTCATACACTCACCTAATGCCCTTGACTCCTTCCCCTATTTCTCTTCCCAGGTTTCTGTATAGGTCTTACCACCTTTTTGCTCTGAATTGTAAGTTCCTAAGTTAATTCATACAATTAGGAGGGTCCCACCAGTTCCACAGTTAGGAAACTTCCGCTTCTACTTTTGCTCATTAGTTGTATTTGCTCTTTTTGTAAATTGTTTATGGTCTTTCCCCCACTGACTCTTCTCTTTTTTTTCCTTCCATGTTCCTTCTCCTTTCTCCTTTTTCTCTTTCCTTTCTTTTTTCCCCCTTTTAAAAATTGACCTTCTTTATCTATCTGCTTTATCAGTAACACTGAGCCCTGTAGCCATTCCCACATCCCACAATGAGCAGTTCTCTCTCACGTGTGTAGCCATCAGTTAAGTCATCCATCCAAGGAATGTTTACTACGTGGGGAGAAAATGGCGACTGAATAGGCAGCCCTGTCTTGCATCTCGTCCCAGGACCAGACTGGAAATACAACCAAATTGGAGAACATTCACCTGGAATGAACAAATGAGGCCCAGCTGAGGAGGCGACTTATAGCAAAGAAGGACAGAAAACACCTGGAGACTGGTAGGAAGGGCGGCGAGGTTGCAAGATGGGTGGCGGGCTGGTGGGCCGAGAGGGAGAGGAGGAAGTTGCCTTATGGAAAAATCTGTTCCCTTAGAAAAATAGAAGCCCAGCCCAGGCTGAGCACCAGAGCTGCATCCCTTGGTGGCAGACGTGACATCCAACTGTGAAAAGGAAAAGCCACAAGGCTGCTGGCTGCCAGGGGTTCTGGACCTGAGACCCCAGCCATGAAAGGCAGCCCCCAAAAAAGGCGTCTCCCACCAAAGGTGGCCCCCTAGAAAGGCAGCCCCCGAAAAAGGCGGCCCCCGAGAAAGGCGAAAGCAGCATGGTGCTGATGGGAGCAGAAGCCAAAGTTTTATGGTTGTTTTTGTTTTGTTTATTTTCAATCTTTAAACCCAGAACACAGGAGTTTTCAGTTGCAACCACTCACCCAAGGTTTTGGTGCAGGGAGGGAGGCATGGACTTGAGGTGCCTGAGGAGAGGCAGGGGAGGGAAACAGGGCAGGGAGACATGGAAAAGCAGTAGCCAGGAGTCCTGCATTGGGGCGTTCGTATGCTTCCAAACCGAAGGCCATTTCTCCACAGAGGAGCTAGCCCAGTAGCCTCAGGGCAGGTGACATAGCCTGCAATTTGAACTTTACAGAGGAAACAAAGGCAGAGGCCAAGCTTATAGGTCTAAACAGTCTCAAGGAGCCCTCAGTGGCTGGATTAGAAGAGGGGCCATCCTCTCTGCTATTCTGGGAACCAGACTGATAAAAACTCCAGGGTTCCAGCTGATCCCATTGGTCTCCATACAAGGATCTCTGTCCAGCCAACGGCAGACTAATAATATTTTGGGCCACTCGTGGAGGAGTAGTTCTGGGACAGGGAAAAACATCCATCATATTCCCTGAAAGCAAAACAGCACCAGCCCCACCTAAAGCCCTATCAGAAACAGACTCCTGAGTGATTAAGATTGGCATCTGGCTGACAGGCAAACAGGGCTGATTGGCCCTTCCTGCTTGCAGCCAAGGCCTGTGGAGACAGACACAAGCAGTGAACTGATGGATTGCTTGGAGCTTCAAGCAGGGTGCTAAACACCAAGACACCGTGCCTGACAGTGGTTAGCACCTAAGTACCTAACAGGAAGCCCAGAACTGGCAGACAGAACAGAAGAGTGGGGTCCAAAGTCAGCTCCTATTGGGCATTAAAACTCAGCTGAAGTGAACATTTTCATTTTTTTCACCTTTTTCTTCCTTTCTTCTCTTTTTTACCTCCCATTTTTCTTCTCCTTTCTCCTTTTTAGTTTTTTCTCTTTCCTTTCTTTTTTCCACCCTTTTAAAATGGATCTTCTCTATCTATCTGCTTTATTGATTTGTTATTATTCTAGTCTCTGTTGGTTTGTTCATATATCTAATTTCCTCTTCCCTGCTCCTACTCAATTTTCTTTTCTCTTTTTCTTCACTACTCATTTTTTATCTCTCTTCTCTTGCTCTTTTCTTCTTCTCCTAATTTTTTAACTTGTTTCATTTCCTAAATTTAGGCCTATCTGCTCTCTCCTCTTTTCTCCTTTTCAATTTTTTTTCTTGTCTTCTCATTTCTTTTCTCCCTCCTCTATTCTAAACCATGGTGTCTTTCCCCTATTCCTCTAATTCGTTAACCTTACTTTTTTTTTAAAATATATTTTATTGATTTTTTACAGAGAGGAAGGGAGAGAGATAGAGAGTTAGAAACATCGATGAGAGAGAAACATCGATCAGCTGCCTCTTGCACATCTCCTACTGGGGATGTGCCCGCAACCCAGGTACATGCCCTTGACCGGAATCGAACCTGGGACCTTTCAGTCCGCAGGCCGACGCTCTATCCACTGAGCCAAACCGGTTTCGGCAAACCTTACTTTTTAATTTAATCTCTGCACCTACAGATTCTGCCCCCCTACCCCTGAGTGTGTTTGGTTTATTTTTCTGTTTGTTCTATTGTGTTTTCTCCCCATTTTTTCCTTTTTTTTCTATCATTCTTGCTCTATTTTCTCTTTCCTAATTCTCTTTTCTCTAGTGAGCACTTTTGTTGGGGCTATAGGGGTCTTGTGTACATTCTTGTTTTGTTCTTTCTGTGTCGTGTATTATCTTGTATTTTATGCTGTTCGGTCAGCACCTCCACAATGGCTGGCACAACATGGTAGGGAGTGAGCCACATAATCAGACACCCTGAGAGGAGACTCCATCCATGAATAGGACAATAACATTGAAGACCCAACTACAACAGGAGAATCCAGGTATCTCAAGTAGGGGGCCTTCCTAGAACACCCAGTCCAGAAGACCTGAGAGAATGCACCACTGGGTCCCACAAAATATCTACTACATAAGACCAACCCAAAAAATCTGTGTGGCATGGCAGTTTGATCTAATACATAGAAACAAATACAAAGGAAGAGCAAAAATTGGGAGACAAAGAGTCAGCCCCCAAGTGAAAGAAAAGGAGGAATCACCAGAAAAGGAACTAAATGAAATGGAGAGAAGTAATTTGTCAGAGAAAGAATTCAGAATAATGGTTTTAAGGATGCTCCAACAGCTGAATGAGAAGTACAAGCAACTCAATGAGAATTATAAGGAGCTGAATAAGAAATACACCAACATGAATAAGAATCAAGAGGAAATAAAGAATGGCATAGCTGCAATAAAGAACACCATGGAAAGTTTCAACAGTAGACTAGAAGAAGCTGAGAACTGAATCAGTGAGTTAGAAAACAAGGTAGAAAAAAATACCCATGTAGAGCAGCAACTGGAAAAAAAAAAAAAACAGGAGGAGAGTTTAAGGGAGCTTTGGGATAACATGAAATGAAACAGCATCCACATAATAGGAGTGCTAGAAGGAGAGGAAGCTGAGCAAAGAATAGAAAACCTGTTTGAAGAAATAATGACAGAAAATGTCCCTGACTTGGGGAAGAAAAAAGTCACACAAGTACAGGAAGCAAGAAGGTCCCAATCAAGATGAATCCAAAAAGACCTACACCAAGACACATCATAATTAAATTGGCAAACATAAAAGACAAAGAAAGAATCTTAAAGGCTGCAAGAGAGAGACAGAAAGTCACCTACAAGGGATCTCCCATTAGACTATCAACTGATTTCTCAACAGAAACACATCAGGAGAGGTCAATCGGAGGAAAAGGGAACATATGTAAAACTTTCAACAATAAAGATAAAATAAAAATGTAAAAGATATTCATAGGGAAATTTTATGATCAGGATTTTATTTTAAGAGGATGGACTGAATAAAAAATAAATTTTATATGTACAGAAAAAAAAAAGAAATGTTTACTACAGGCTACTGTAGGCCAGACATTGGGATAATATTGGGATGCTAGTACACAATCTATGACTTTACAGAGGCCAAGTATGTTGGATTTTAATGGCTTGAGAACAACATGTATAGATTATTAAATATTTATTTTCTTTGGTCCCTTGGGTGTTCTAAGATTTGTTTCTTTCCAGAAAGCAATTGGGAGCACAGGAGACTCTTTGACTAAGTACCGAGGGGCAGAAATTGCATTCTGGTTCCATTTTGTCCTCCAATTTGTATTCAGACTCAGGCAAGAGTTAAAGAGTTTGATGATAGATAAGCACAGAGAAAAACAGTGCAGCCCAGTGCATCTTTGCTTAGGGTAATTTCTCTTCTCCCTTTCTCCTCTCCAGTCCTGCTTTCCTGCCTCTGACGCAGGGAGCTAAGGGTCTGAATGAAACCTGCTGGAGGTTCCAATTAAATTTTTGTGGACAAAGGGCAAGCTTGGCTTCCTCAGATAACAGCTGGCAATAAATCCATCAGCACATCCACGTTCAGAGAACAGTCCCTGCTGAACTGCTAACAGCTGCCAATATCTCGTTGAGTACCTCACACAAGATGGGCTCTATGGTAAGAAATTTCTCTGGACAACTTTAATCCTTCCTTGTATTTGTGTTTCTCAAAAGAGAATTTTTATTCTAAAGTGAAGTGTACTACTAATTAGTTAGCAAATGCCTGGTTTGGTTTTGTTTGTTGGTATTTTGGGGTTTATCCTTAGAGTACATATTTTGAGCCATTTTACATCTTTTAGTGTTCTTTTGCTTTCCTTTTAGCCTCTTTATTTCCTTCATTACGAATTCTAACTAAATTTGTACTTAGAAATGCCTTGTTTATACAGGATCTTAAGTGATTGCATGCATTTTCTGGTTGAAAGTTAACGGGATTTGGTTCAGTGGAGACCGCTTAGTTGCTTAGAGCTATGGTGTGGATAATGCTCTTCTTCCAGCCCTGATCTTAGAACAGAACAGAGTAACTCAGTACTTGGGATATTTCCAACACTGGAGGCTGACTATTGAATCCCAGTGATAAACATTTAACATTATTTACTTTTTGTATTATGAAAATAGTAAATAATAAAACATTTAGAAATTACAGAAAAAATAAAAAGAAGATAATTTAAGCATCAATTATAATAGCTGACATTTGGGTATGTATCTTTCTAGTCTTTTAAAAATGTGCAAATCAATTTCTTTCTTATATAACTGAAGTCAAACTATAAATACAGTTTTGTATCCATTTTAAAACTTAACATCATATTAAGAGTATTTTCTAAGTCATTGAAATTGTTTGAAAACATTATTTTAAGATCTGTTTATATATTTCCATTAAAATGTTTCATTTATATTATATAAATAATTCAGCAATTTGTCATTTTAAACCTAAATTTTGGACTGCACTTCTGATCATTTCTTTAGGATACATTCTTAGAAGTAGAGTTACCAAATAAAAGAATATCCGATCATTAGAGCCTGATGCATTTCATGGTAGTAATCTATTTTAAAACTTGTATGATTGCTATTGTTTATACCATAACAGAAGTAATATAAAAGAAAAGAAAATAATTCCCAAAAACTGTTATCACCTGAAAACTGTACAGCCTACTGCATCTTTGCTTAGGGTAATCTCTCTCTCTCTCTCTCTCTCTCTCTCTCTCTCTCTCTCTCTCTCTTTTTCTCTCAAAATACTGTTACTTAACAAAATAACAGTTTAACAAAATGCTGTTACTTAATGCTCACTAATGACGACCTGAAATCCTAAATAGAAAACTAATCATGAATGTTAATATTTTATTTACACAGAGTAACACATCATTCTGAGCAGGGATTTATAGCTTAAACTAAAGGATAAGAGTACTTCTAGTACCACAGAGCAAAGGAAGGTGGTGGGGTACATGCCTACAAGTTAAAAAGTTTGGATTTCATTCTAGTTCGACACCAATTGTGTGACCTGAGACAGACCTCCCAGCTTCAAGTCTCAGATTTCTCATCTGTGAGAGGAAAGTGTTGGTCTAGGTCAGTGTTTCTCAGTCGGCAGCATGAGTCACACTTGTGGCCCATGAGACATTTTTGTGTGATACGTAGAGACAGACCATAATTTGGTTTTGGCATGGCACATAAGGTTATTTTTTAAAACAAGCATTTCAGTTTGTTATTTTAAGTGGATTTGGGGGAAAGGATTGCGTAAGTAATAGTGTAAGTAGTCCTTAGGTATGATGTGATCATGGAAGTGATAGGCAGGTGTCTGACATGTAAGAAACAGCGAGGTGAATCCTCATCCTATGCTGGGTAGAATTCCAGTATGAAAAACTGGTAAGCAGTGCTAGGCAGGCCCTCTGGGAACCAAGCGGAGTATTAAGCTGTATAAGTTGTGAACAGAGCTCTGATCAGGTGGCTCAGTTGGTTGGAGCGTCCTCCTATACACCAAAAGGATAAGATGGCAGGTGGCAGGTTCTATTCCCGGTCAGGGCACATACCTGGGTTGCGAGTTAGATTCCCTGTTGAGGCATGTAGAGGAAGCAACCGATCTATGTTTCTCTCCCACATCAATGTTTCTCTCTTTATCTCTCTCTCCCTTCCTCCCTCTAAAAATCAATAAACATATCTTTGAGTGAAGATTTAAAAAAAAAAAAGAAGTGAATAGAGACAGGCATGGAAAAGTTTCCAAATTCCTGCAACTCTGTACTTTTTATTTAATAGTGAGTATCACTGGTCTGGGCAGACTTCCCCCTCTACTGTAAAGGCTGCTGAAGACCTGCAGGTGTAACAGGACCTTCCCTAAGAACCTGGAGGAGAAGACCCTCAGCCCAGTCCTCGCCATGCTCAGGGCTGTCTGGGATGCCCCTCAGCATTGGCTGCAGGAGGGGAGAGAGTCCCGGAAGCTGGTGCTGGTGGTTGTGTTTGTGGCTCTGCTCCTGGACAACACGCTGCTCACTGTGGTTGGTACGTCTGGGGTCTTGGTGTCGGGGTACTTTGCTCTGGGCCCAGCAATACCCACCCCTCCAGCTTTCAGCAGTGAATGGACTTGAGAATGTTTTCTTTCATGCTTGAAAGGGCCCAGAGGTTTCTGGGAATTGGAGGAGACAGCAGGAAATGGAGTCTGAAGCTTGCCAACCATTGCCGAAAGCTCCAGGGGTTCAAAGATAAGGAGATTCAGAGAGTTATCTGACCAAAAAAGATTGACTGGAGCCAGAACTGGCATTACTTCCTCCCCATGCTATCTTCCCAAGGTGCTAATGACTCCAAGTGGCCTCTGGGACAATGAGCCCCTTCTCACTGTTGCCTTCCCAGCTTCTGCTCCACCAAAATAGCACACTTTACATGGATATCCAGCTTCGTATCAAAACCTACCTTTCTGGTAGTTCATTCCCTCAGAGTCCTGCTTTTTTTAGTTGGTAGTTATTCATCTTTACATTTGGCCATGCCAGTGTCTAAACGAGTGCTAATGTGTTGCCCCTCTTGGGTAAAATATCTTCTTTGAAACAAGAATCTTTCTGAGACAAATCATTAACCCAATATAGTCAGTTCTCGATATGTGGTAGTGCTGCTCTCTAAAGTTGCTGCAAAGACTGAATTTAGCCAATACTGAATCATTGCTCCTAGGGGAACTATATACACACACATCCCATATAGATTATAATCTTAAATCCTAAAAACACCCATCCTGGTAGTCTGTGGTTTTTTTTAAAAAAAACACACACACAAGAATATGTTTTTATTGATTTTGGAGAGAGATGAAGGGAGAGGGAGAGAGAGAGAGGTAGAAACATCAATGAGAGAGAACATTAATCAACTGCCTCCTGCACGGCCCCTACTGGGGATCGAGCCTGAGATCTGGGCATGTGCCCTGACCAGAATCGAACCAGTGACCTGATGGTGCATGGGTCGACGCTCAACCACTGAGCCACACCTGCTGAGCAATTCTATTTTTTTTTTAACTTTTTAAATGTTTTAGGTACAGTTGACATTTAATATTATATTATTTCCAAGTGATTGGACATTTGTATAATTTACGAAGTGACCCCTCTCTAAGTCTAGTCACCTGGCATTATACATAGTTATTACAATATTATTGATTGTATTCCCCGTGCTGTATTTTACATCCCTGGGACTATTCTGTAACTACCAGTTTGTACTTCTTAATCCCTTCACTCTTTTTCACCCAGCCCCCCAAGCTCCCTCCCACCGGCCAACCATCAGTTTGTTCTCTGTATCTATGAGTCTGTTTCCTGTTTTCTTTACAAAAGAGAAAACAAGGCCTGGAGTATTAGGTGCCTTGTCTGAGGCCACCTGACTCACAGGTGCGAGAGTTGGGCTTGAAGCCCTGTCCACCTGCCCCTGAGCCAGGGCTTCTTGCCCTGCACTGGCCTGCTCCTCCTGCCTCCTGCTCTGCCACCTCTGCCTGAGAGCTGAAGGAAAAAGGCGGAGCCCGCCTCGTCCAGCCTCAGCTGGGAAAGTCAGCATCTGGTGACTCAAAATTTTCCCCGCTCTCTGCACGCATGTCCGAGAAATCTCATGACAGCTCTGCGAGTATTGACTTTGTGGTCACAAATAAATTTTAGCCAGTAGGTGAATTAGCCAATATGGAATCTATGAATGATGAAGACCAACTGTATGATGGTTGAGATCCAGGTACTTTAGCTAATAGTATAATGTGGGTGGACACAATCTGTTATTGGGAGTCAAATCATGTCACTTAGACACCTGCCTTGAGCATGAAACTGAACCTCATAGCAATGACCCTGGACCCACTAATGGTAAAAGACAATGTGTCCTTAGCCCTGACCACTTGTCCTTCTTGACTTTCAGTGCCCATCGTGCCCACCTTCCTCTATGCCACAGAATTCAAAGAAGTCAACACTTCTCTGCACCTCGGCACGGCCACAACTTCCCGGCACGCCCTCACTTCTCCTGCCTTTTCCACTATCTTCTCCTTCTTTGATAACAACACCTTGGCTGTTGAAGAAAGTGCGCCCAGTGCCACAGCATGGACAAATGCCACTTCTGGCACCGTCGCCCCTCCAGTCACAGAGGCCATCTCATCCCAGAAAAACAACTGCCTGCAGCACTCGGAGTTCTTGGAGGAAGAGAACATCCGAGTCGGGCTTCTGTTTGCTTCAAAGGCTGTGATGCAACTTCTGGTCAACCCATTCGTGGGCCCTCTCACCAACAGGTATTTCCGGGGTGCTCGGGGGCTCAGGAATAAGAGAATGGGCTAAAGCCGTGGTGGGCAAACTGCAGCTCGAGAGCCACATGCGGCTCTTTGGCCCCTTGAGTGTGGCTCTTTCTAAGCCTTAGGAGAACCCTAATTAAGTTAATAACAATGTACCTACCTATATAGTTTAAGTTTAAAAAATTTGGCTCTCAAAAGAAATTTCAATTGTTGTACTGTTGATATTTGGCTCTGTTGAATAATGAGTTTGCCGACCACTGGGCTAAGGCATCCTAAAGATGGTTAGAAGGGAGAAAGAAGGAAACTCTCTTATCTGCACCCCAGGATAGTCAGCTGTTAGAAAAGCTGGTTACCCCAACGGATAGCATGATGTTGATGAAATGCCATGGGCTTCTGATTTTTTTAGTGATGTGATGACTAGAGTACCAAGAAGAGAACCATGGAGAGAAGTACGCCACTGATGTTTATTTTAGTGTCCTAGAACTTGGCTCCTATAGGATAGGGATGGGAATGGAGCAGGCCTATTGTAAGCTAGAGAACTGGCTTCTTAGCAAGTTGTGCTTGGGATTACCTGATTTTTCAAAGGGGTATACACTCTGACTAGGCTATCTGCCGGGGTTCTTGTCCCAGCATCAAGAAGGGTTCAGGAATCTGGAGAAGGCTGTGCGTAGATGACAGGAATCCAGAGACTAATAAAGAGTCCGGAGATGAAATATAATTTTGAAAGGCATTGGGGGGTCAGAGGAGCTTAGCTAAAGGAGCTAAGTTCTAAGATCTTAAGTCTAAGGTCTTAGGTTCTCTCGTGGTCCCCATGCTTTTTATTAACACAACTTGTCCTGAGGCGAGGCAGAGATATACACTTCAAAGGGTCAGGGTTTGGTACAGAGTCCATTGTCAGATTTGGGGGAATTAGCCTACAGCTGTTCAGGTATTTGGCCAGTAGGAGGCAATAATATGTAGACTAAGATGCCCTTTAACTGTCTGGCAGCCACAATCAATTTAATGTATCCATTTCAGGTTTGGGGAAATGCCTTTAGCCATTCCCAACAGGTGACTACATGTGTGACTCAACCCTGTTGAGTCCCCAAGTCTCATCAACCTTTTGATGAAACTCCTGAAATTATGACCTGCTGGAATTGGTCTCTGGCAGCTATCCTTTCTGGAAAAGAAAATTTTGGCCCTGGTCTATGGGAAATTTTTCATGTTTGTTTATTTGGTTATATGCATTCACATGTCATATCCATTCTCTACACCTGCACTCAAATAAATGAATTTTTCTTCCCAATTACATGAAAATATATAGTCCAAGTATATGGATGCCTACTGGAACTGTATCTTTTTTTTTTTAATTCCCTTTTAGGATTGGATATCACATTCCCATGTTTGCTGGCTTTGTTATCATGTTTCTCTCCACAGTTAGTAAGTAATTTGCTTCCTCGTTTCTTCCCTTCACTGATTACCTTTGATTTTGTCACATGCACTGCAGTGAAGACAGCAGGGTCAAGCTAGCTAAGTAGCCTATGATACTGATTTAAATGCTTTGCACCTTCTGGTATAGAGAGTAGAGCAATCATGGCAACACAGTCTGGTTGGAATTTGTATATTCTGCTATAGAAGTTACTTCACTTTCTTTAGCTGGGGAAAACTGTGAAGGCTGTTTTACTGTGTATGTGATAGTGTGTGTGATCCCTTGGGTGAGTTCAGAACAAACCTTGCGTCTTTGGGAAGAGGTCATATTATTTTGATATGCAAAGGTAAAGGACTACTAACGAAGAATCTAAATTGGACAAGAGCAATTGGGAACGTCCCCAAAGTCTGCTGCCTTCAAATAAGAACATTAAAGGTCAGGAAATGTTCTAACTCAGGAAAGTCAATTTGCTAAAGAAACAAGAGAAAGACAAATAGTTCATTCAGTAACCAATAAATGTTCCTAATAAAATATAGATGGAATAAGAGCAGTAAGTGAAAAAAAATATGTCTGGAAATTGACCCTGAGAATGAAAATAAGCAGGAATGAATGAAGTGGGGTTCATGCGGGGAAGGCAGCCTATGGACCCACTGCTGACTCTCTGACCGGAACCACAGGTGTTCTTATCCCTCCGGTTTTTCTTACCACCTTTCTGTTACTTTCCCGCCTTTTTATTGCTTCTCCCCAGGTGTTCTTCCCTCCCAGCACAGGGCTTGACTCCTATCTTAACAGGAGTTTGTCTCACTCAGGGCGAAGGCTGCAGAGTGCAGGAGCTGGATGAAGTTCTGTCTTAAGTTTACTTAAGACAATTCCAGCTGAATCAAAGAAAATGAGGATATTCAAGTTAGACATGTTTATTGTACTTCGAGGGGCTCAGCCTACCCTAACCAGTACATTAAACATGAATAATTTACTCTGTTTCATCAAATGAGACATAATTCATTCCACAAAAGTTGATGGCAAAAGTCACTGAAGGTTTCTAGTTCCCCAGGACGTTGTGATGTTCTTACTGAACAGAAAGAGTTTGTCCACCCAGTGTGAGAGAGCCAAACCCTCAACACTGAGAACTGCAGGGGAGAAATATTGGCTGTTTTATTATGAAGGGCACCACCCAGGAGGACGGGAAGCTAATGCTCACAGGCCCAAACTTTCTGAGGGCATGTAGGGTACAGTTATATCGGGCAAAGTCACAAGACACCATAGGTTAGGGGGCTCAGGGTCATGCTAGGAGCTGATTGGTCGGAGATGAGGTAAGAGTAATAAATAATTTTTTTGTAAAGGATATAGGAAGATCCGACCTTGAACAGATTGGAAATCAGAAGGCCTGGGAGAGGGCCCTGGAGGCCAGGCAAGGAGAGACCAAGTGTGTGCATGTTTGTAGACAGTGCGATCATGTCGGGAAGGAGTAAGGAGCTTATAAGACATCAAACAAGGGAAGACATCTGTAATGAATGGGCAAAGGGATTTCAGTTCTGCTGATGCAGACACTCTGGGAAGGAGTCTTCTGTCTTTCGGGGGCTTTGCCCTGAAACTGGAGTGAGACATGTCTGCAATTACCAGCCTTACCACCGACACCCTATAATTTAGTTTTTGACAACATATTTCTATTTGGTTCTCAGTTTTGTGTGTGTTAGTCTCTAGTAGACTGAGTCTCTTCAAGGGCATGAACTGAATGTATCTTTAGTTCACATCTGCTAAGAGCCTAGCACAGCTGTATACTCAGTGTTGCAGTATAAGGTAAGGGAACAGATCTGATTGAGTAGAAAGATATTACTTTAACATCTACCCATCACTTGTGGCCCTTCAAGTACACATAGCTTTTTATTCCATCCTTCAGATGACCCAGTGGGGCCCAAAAGTGGCAAAAGTCAAATGCAGGTGTTGCATATGGATGATCCAGAAGTAGGGCCTAAGGACAAGTTCCCAGCCCTGGGCATTGGACTTGGTAGACAACCGTGATTCCAGGGGACAGAATGTTGGATGTTGGGCTTTGGAAATGTGGAAACCCAGCTTCCATCTAACATGTGGTGAATCGATTTATGCTTCTATGGTGTCTCAGTATCATGCCAATTAAAATGCAATCCTGATAAGGGTGGGTGGTTAGAAAGACAACTCCAAGAACAGGGAGCAGTGAACGTGCTTTATTAAAACAAATGCATAATGGCTCGTCTTCGTAATATCACGGGCAGGTTTTCTGGTGGCCAGGGGACAAAGGCAGTTTGCTAACTGGAGTATTCTTGCTGTGCTCTTTGTCCAGTGTTTGCTTTTGCTGGTACCTATACCCTGCTCTTTGTGGCTCGAACCCTTCAAGGCATTGGATCTTCATTTTCATCTGTTGCAGGTAACACTGACATCTTATACACACGCATGCGCACACCACCTTGTTTATCGTCGTAAGATGATTTATATGAAAAAAAATTTAAAGAAAATATCCTAGAAGGCAGAAATTATGATTCAAAAACAAGATAATTATAGTGTTGCCAGCAGTGCCCATTCATTCCTCAGGCTGACATAACTCCCTCTGGTAATGTTAGATGCAGCTAGTTCAGGTCAAAGCAAGCCCTAGGTAATACCATGAAGTAGGCCAGGCTTTTACTTAATGCCACTCTGTGGTCTTTTCTCTGTTCCCTCCTACCACTTAGTAGGGACAGTAATGTTCATACTACCAGTAACGCCAGCACAGTTTGCAAAGTGTTATCAAATACAACATTCATGTGATCCTTGGCCATTTTACACATGAGGGAATGGACGTGAGAGCCCAGCCCACACTCTTGTCCAGGCACTTGGCACTGTCCTCCTTTTCCTTGGGCACCCCCGTTGAGTAGAGCAGTGCTCTGTGTTCAAATGCGTTTCCTTCCTTGATCTAGTCCATATCTATTCATTCAGGGAAATGTGCTAGGAAATCATAGCATGATATGAAATGCAGTGTCATGGGACAATGGTAGTCTGTGTTCCCTTCTCAGAGACTTGCACTTCCCACAATATTGTGAACGGAGGGAATGAGCAATGTGGGAGTTTGGGGGAGCAGCGGGGAAATATTTGTAAATACTATGGGTTAAGTGTTGTGAAACCCCTCAAGCTGAAACTCAAGCTAAGATGATCCCTGAAGATATATTAGGGTGAAGGCCATGGACCCTGTGAGAAGGCAGAGAGAAAACTCCTGCATATTCACTCCATCTGTCGCCTCCTTCAGGTCTTGGGATGCTGGCAAGTGTCTACACTGATGACTATGAGAGAGGCCGTGCCATGGGAATCGCCTTGGGGGGCCTGGCTTTGGGGGTGCTGGGTAAGTGGCATCTGGCCCCAGATCTAGGTTCATAAGGGTGGAGACTGCAGACTCTGAAGATGGCTCCAGGAGGCAGGCGATCCTACGGTCATGGAAGACAATATTTTCCTTCTTTCTCTGTCCAATCATGTCTGGAGTCCTTCTGAAAGTTGGCCCTGGAAAAGTGAAATCCCTTTCCCCTTAAGCTGAATAGCTCTTCAGGGCCTGGGAATGGTCCAGAAACCTCGTCTAGTCAAGGGAGCGAATCTCCCCATGTCAGCAGCCACGGAGTGAATCTCCCCATGTCAGCAGCCACTGCCTCACCTCTGCTTCCACACATGGCCAGCTTTCAACATGAGAACATAATCTCCTTCAATTCTCAGCACCGTGCTCTGAAGGAGGAATGATTGCCGCAATGTAGAGATGAGATCTGAAGGAGGAATGATTGCCGCAATGTAAAGATGAGAATAGGAACGTTTAGGTAACCATCCAAGGTCACACAGCCAGGGAATGCCGGAGCCAGGATACAGATGCAGATTTTCCAGGCTTGACTCCCAAGCTGCAAGCCATAAGGCTGTCCTTTCTTTGAAGTTCATCCCTGTTAAGGTTTAATTGACTAGTCCAACAAACCACACACTTTTACTGAGCACTTACTACACGCCAACCACAATGCTAGCCCAGAGGGGTTCTTGGTAAGAAACCTCAGACACGCCCTGTAGGAGCTCACAAGCTAATTAGGGAGAAAACACTAAAAGTCTCTTCCCTGGCTCACACCCACCCTCTACCACCACAGGGAAGAGATGGAACAAAAGCCCTAGTACCCACCGACCCAAACACCAAGCTAAAACTGCTGCATCCCTGTCTCCTTTCTCTCCTCTCACTCCCAAATGAATACGCCCACTGTATTCTCTACAGCCACTTCCTCACAGTCAGCTCCTCATCATGTCTCAGTTGGAATGTGGCACCAGCCTCCTGCCTGATCTCTTACACAGTCTCCTTCCTCCAAGGTGCTCCAGAAAAAACTCCCAAGCCCAGAGCTGGCGGTATTTCTCCCCTGCTAAAAAGCACGGATGTTTCTCCCTGGCCTTCCAGGCCTAGTAGATGCTTTATCTGGATATACGGGGCCCTTAACTATTTGGCTTCAACCTTCCCAACTCTACTCTTTCTCTCCCAAATACTCATATTCTAGTAGAACTGACTTTCTTCTATTTCTTTTTCAACCGCACTCCCTTTTCTGACACTTCTGTGCTCTTCACACACGATTCTTCCCCACCAGTATTTATGCACCTGACAAAGCCCATGTGGCTTCCTGAACTCACTACCCTGCGCTCACATAGCACTTTGTAGCTGGAGACTTTACTGTTGAACTTTACTTTTTACCACGTTCTAATTATTTGGGCGCCCCGCCCTCCCCCCCACCCCCCGCCCCCCGCTGCTCATTTTCTCCACTAAAATGTAAAGACCTTGGAACCAGGTCTTCTTCATCTCTGAATCCCCAGAACCTCGTGTGAAGCTCAGCCCCAAGTAGGCCTTCGGTACACACTCACTGGGGCCATGTGGGCAAGTCACGCTGGCTGGGATCTGGCCCTCACCTCTGCAGTCTCCCTGCTTTGCCTTTCCAGTGGGAGCTCCCTTCGGAAGTGTGATGTATGAGTTTGTTGGGAAGTCTGCACCCTTCCTCATCCTGGCCTTCCTGGCACTGCTGGATGGAGGTAAGTCACCATAAGAGGCCTGGGCAGGTGATAGCATTGTGGTCAGGTTGGGAGTGCATTGAGCTGTGGTGTCAGTTTTGACATGTTTGAATGGATTGAGGACTAGGAAAGAAGGGAGAAACTTAAGGAGTTAGATCTATATGTGACAGAGTGAGAGCAATGTGGCTGTGATTGGAGCCTCCAACGAATCAGTGGGTAAACTGAACTGTCTCTTTCCCTCTTTCCTTCTTAGCACTCCAGTTTTGTATTTTACAGCCTTCCAAACTCTCTCCTGAGGTAAGTAGACACCAAGCTCCATTGCCAAGAGATTTATAGAATGACTAAGGTGGTGACCCAGGCGTCCCTAGACCATCCCTGTCAAATTACAAGAAGAAAGATGAAGGGAAATGGAGTCAGGGGAAGTGAGAATTGTACTTTGATTCCCAGATAGGGTCATGTGGGAGATGGTGTGGGAGTCTGGCTTGATATTGGACAAAGGTGGAGGGAGGGCCTTATGAACAATCAAAGAAACTTTTTGAAGTAAACACACACACACACACACACACACACACTCTCTCTCTCTCTCTCTCTCTCTCTCTCTCTCTCACACACACACACACACACACACACACACACACAGCCATGCATCACATAACAATTGTTTGGTCAACAACAGACTGCACATACCATGGTGGTCCCTTAAGATTATAACAGAGCCAAAAAATTCCTATTGCTTAACAACCTTGTAGCTGTTCTGACAGTATAGCCATGGTAATGTTGTAGCACCATGTATCACTCGTATTTGTGATGTAAACAAACCTAATGGGCCCTAGCCAGTTTGGTTGGGTAGATAGAGCATGGCCTGCGGACCAAAGGGTCCCGGGTTTGATTCCAGTCAAGGGCACGTACCTTGGTTGCAGACCCGGGCCCTGGTCAGGTCTCGTGCAGGAGGCAACCAATCAATGTGTTTCTCTCACATTGATGTTTCTCTCTGTCTTTCCCTCTCTCTTCCATTCTTCCACTCCAAGCCAAAGATGGCTCTGGGAAATCCATATCAAACCAGGAAGAAGGGAAGAGAAGAAAAGAATGCAAAATATTCCTAAAAATCAATGGGAAAATATCCTTAGGTGACAATGAACAAAAACAAAAACAAAAATCCTACTGGGCTGCCAGTTGTATAAACGTATAGCACATAAAATTATGTGCCGTATATTAGGATAATGATAATAAACAACTATGTTACTGGTTTATGTACTTACTATATTATACTATTCATCATTATTTTATAGTGTGCTCTTTCTACTTATAAAAAAGGGGATTGCTGCACACCATTAGTGGCCTCATATATCTCATGTTTACTGTGTCTCATGTTTGCATAATTTTCTCTTGTGCTTGATTTAATTTCATGTTGTTTTGTATAGTAATATGCACTGCAAGCATGTCAAACTCAAAGGCTAACATGGGCCAAATAAACAAGGTTTAAGTTCATGTGGGCCGCAAAAAAACAAAAGCTTCAATTTTCATAGAAATGTAGGTTTATTTCAATAGAGACATGCTGAGTACAAAGGGATGAAATAAAAGAGTAATCATTAATATAAAATAATAGAACATTTTAATAAAAATTATTTTTTCTTGAACATTAACTTACCAGACACTGAATAACTGTACAAATTAATAAGCATAACGCAAATAAACCTATTTTTCTTGTTCTCTAAAACACACCAAACAAGTCAGCACAAGACTAATGACATGGCAATCAGCTGCTAAAATATGCGCTGCTAGTATTAGTGGAAAGAAATGGTGCACGTGCGCTAAGGGAAATGAATTCAACATGATTATAGTAATCAGTCATTAGCAAACATTGTAGTTCATTATTAATAATTATGATAACAGGATATTGTAAAAATTAAGTTACAAAATTTTTATTAAAATGTTTCTTACATACCGTTATATTGGCTGGGCCACAAAAGTATTTGTTGTGGGCGGCATGCGGCCCACAGGCCACAGGTTTCACATGCTTGCTATGCATGCTTGTAGACTAGAAGCAATTGGCTATACCACATACCCTAGGTGTGTAGTAGGCTATACCATCTAGGTTTGTGTAAGTGCACTCCGTGATGTTCACACAAAGACAAAATTGCCTATTCACATTTCTTAAGCTGTATCCCTGTTGTTAAGCAGTATGTGACTATATATATACATCTCCATCCTATATAATAAAACCCTAATATGCAAATCGACCAAATGGCAGAACAACCGGTTGCTACGACACACACTGACCACCAGGGGGCAGATGCTCAATGCAGGAGTTTCCTCCTGATGGTCAGTGCGCTCCCACAGGGGAGCGCTGCTCAGCCAGAAGCCGGGCTCATGGCTGGCGAGTGCTGCAGCAGTGGCAGGAGCCTCTCCCACCTCTGCAGCAGCACTAAGGACCCCTTGGGGGATGTCCGACTGCCAGCTTAGGCCCACTCCCCACACTGCTGGCTTAGGCCCAGGGGGAGCAGGCCTAAGCCAGCAGTCAGACATCCCCCAAGGGGTCCCGGACTGCAAGAGGGTGCAGTTCAGGCTGAGGAACTCCCCCCCCCCCCCAGTGCATGAATATCATGCACTGGGCCTCTAGTATATAGATATAGATAGATATAGATATAGATATAGATATAGATATAGATATAGATAGATATATAGATATGGCCATATATATATAACTACATATATTCATGCACTAAGTTTATATATACATATATAGTCATGAGTTTACTATAGATATTTAATACACAAGGTGTGGCAAAAGAACCAAGAAGGAGACAATGACTTTGGGATCTGCACATTCATGGTTATAACATCCCAGAGCTAGAGAAGACCTTAGAGGCCATCCAGGCAACCTCTCCCCCGAGAGCATCCTTACAGACTGTCATTCTGTCACAGTTAAATATCGGAGTTGGTATTTGTCTGATTCCAAGCCAAAGATGGCTCTGGGAAATCCATATCAAACCAGGAAGAAGGGAAGAGAAGAAAAGAATGCAAAAATCATGGGAAAATTTTTTTCTAAATACCTTGAATTTGTTGCCAAGTCAGGCCAAAGTGTGGGTAACCTGGGAACCCACTACTTGTGATTGGCATCTGAAGTTGGGGCAGCCTTGAGGGGCTGAGCCCTGACCCTGTGCGGTCTGTGCTAACTCCAGGTCAGTACATTCTCAGATTCTGTGAACATAGGAGAAATTTATATACCATACAAATGGAGTTTTGTTGTCCATGTTCTCAGAGTGCCAAGGGGACTCCGCTCCTTACACTTCTCAAAGACCCTTATATCCTGGTGGCTTCGGGTAAGTTGACAATATTCCCCCTTGGGTTGGGAGAGTCTGGGCTTCAGGGCCATGTGGCTCACAGAACTGTCCTCCCCAGGCTCCCTCTGCTTTGCCAACATGGGAGTGGCCATGCTGGAGCCCACACTGCCCATCTGGATGATGCAGACCATGTGTTCCCCTGAGTGGCAGCTGGGTAAGTGACCTTGGTCCCCAACTCAGGCTTGAGCAGAAGTGTGTGCCATGGCTCTTTCTCAGGTGTTAGAGAAGCATCACTAGGTCCAGGTCTTCAGGGTCACAGAGAGACAATGTGCTTCCGTCATAGAATGACCTGCCCATTCACACCTGTAAATCAAGCCTGATTGGGTGGGTAGTGCCTCCAAGAAGTGGCCCAAGAAGGACAGGGTGGGAGGGGCTGACAGGGCTGTAGAGCAGCAACTTCCTGTGTGGTAGAACCATTCATGATTTCTAGTCAGAGGACCTAGATTTTCATTTCTATTGGTTGGCTATGCAAACTGTGCAAGTCACAGAAACTTTCTGAGCATCATTTTTCTCATCTCTAAAATAGGCATCAGAATACTATCTAGTTCAAGGGTAATTTGAGGAATAAATGGCAGTCGTGCACCGTAGAACATTAATATGCACCCCCACTACCATCCATATTTTCTCGCTTAAACTCTCCTTTGCCCGCATTACTTTTTTTTGCTACCTTTTCACCTCTGAAAAGGAGCTTATGGAAATGTTCTGTAGCCCTCACCTAGGGAAGGTGCTGGGCTCTGTACCCCAGTGGAGAGCTCTGGGCCCAGGAGAGAGGCCTGCAGCCTCCTCTGCTCCATGGAGAGATGTCCTTGTGACCCATCTGAGGAGGGTCTGGCCCTTTCCAGGAAGCCTGAGGACAGGGACAGAAAAGTCTACGTGCAAATCGCTCAGTCACTGCAGGGAGGAAGAGGCTTATGGGGCCAGAGGGGAAGCCGATAAGGACCTGATATGGCTCAGCATGCAATAAAAAGCACTAAATCTAATTTTTTAGAGGACGATTCTAAGCAAGGCTCCCAGCCCCAAATTGAATTTTTCTGGGCTGCAGCTGCCTCTGACCATGACAATTAATTGAGTTAGTCAGTGCTTGGTGCCAACCAGCATCCCTGACCTGAGGTTCTGGCTGTGCAGGTGGGAACCACAGCTCAAAATAACCCTTCTCCAGCCTTCCGTACTCAAAAGGGAGAATATTAAAAGCAAACGAGCATCTGTCAGTGACTGGTGAATTGTTGACTTTGGGCTTGATTGTAATCGGCACAATAGTTTCCATTAGGCAGCACTGTTGCCTCTCCATGGGAGAGGCAGAGTGGCAGGTGAGACCTGAGGAAGCGCACAGGGTGGGTTCCGGGTCCCCCTTGCAGGCCAGGCTGTCACAGCGTCAGAGCTCAGGGAGGCTTTGTCTCCCCCACCCTTGACAGCGTTCCTCAGGGCTATCTTTATCAAACTGCCGGGAAAGCTTGTTGAAACTCAGATATGGAGGCCCCACCCAGCAATTCAGTGAAACAAGTTTGCATGCCTAGCCAGTTTCCGGGTGATGCTGACACGGCCTCCGTGACCACACTGAAAAATATGGCTCTAAATGCAGATCACCTCTTAGTACTGGGAGGAAAGGAGACGAGGCTTTGGGAGGGATCAGTAACTGAGCACTCTAATGTCCCACGTGCCTGCTGCTCTCACCGAGGGAGCAGGAGAAATACTCCGGCTTTGGAGACAGGCTGCCTGGGTTTGAATCCTGGTAGCCACTTACTGGTTGTGACCTTGGATAAGTTTCCTAACCTCTTGTGAATTCCACTCTTTTTATTTATAAAAATGGAGCAGCTTTTCCTTCAGAAAATGAGTTGTTTTCAGGATTAAATGAATCTATGAATTCTAAAAGGAATCGCACCATGTATGGAATATAGGATATACTCAGTAAATCAAAATCATTACTGTTTTCATAATTGTTTTTGTTTAAAGCACTTTGACAATCACAACTGTGTATAATCTCCACCCCTTGAAGATGTGCTATGAAAAATCTATGTGTGTCTGTGGACATATAGTCTGGAATACCTGTTTTGTACAAGATGTGACTGAAATGCAAGCTATTCCTGGGCCCCAAAGAACAAGCCACTGTGATTGAGGAAAATCTCATTCAGAAAGTTTCACACCATTTAAAATGACAGTAAGAGGATGATCTAGGAGGCTAGAAGGCTTCCTAGGGGAACTTGATTCCAGACAATCAGGTAAACAGTTGAGTAGTTATAACTTCTAATTTTTTTTAAGCAATTAAACATAAACAAGTGGGTACAGTTTGAAACAGATTGCCACGCTTTACAGGTTGACTAGACAAATCCAGTGAGGTATACTTCACTTCCACCCGCAGAAGAGAATATTAAAAGCAAACAAGCCATCCGCCCGTACGTGGTGAATTGTTGACTTTGTGTTTAATTGTCATCGTCATGACAGTTTCTATTAGGCAGCACGTTTCCTCAGTACAGAGAGGCCGAGAGGCTGGCAAGGCCCACGGAAACTCACACAGCTGATTCCAGGTAGTCCCTTGTGCCAGAGCCACCTGGCTGCCACATTGGAGGTGTGGGTGTTAGAAACACCTGGAGTTGGAGTGAGAAGGCCTGGGTCCAAGTCCTGACCCTGTTTCTCAACAGATGATACTAAGGAAGGCCAGTGCTCAGAGGGTACTTAACCTGTGCCAGGAGCTACGCAAAATGGTTGCTAGGCATCGTGTCATCTAAGCCTCTCAGCCAGCCTATCTAATAGGAATTAATATGATCCCCATAGTTCAGAGGTTTCTTATTCTGATCCAATTTCCCATTGACCTCCCCAACCCTGGGCCTTATGGAACACTCTGTCATGGGCAAGGTCCCAGTACCCTCAGCCTCTTCTCCATACACATCCCACATCTCCTTGCCCTCACTGAGACCTGGATGTTTCCTGAGAAAGTTGTTTCATGCAGCCCTTTGGTGCAAGCTCATGTTCCTCCTTTGGTGCTTCTGAATCATTTCTTCTTCATTCTCCTTCAAAGAACCCAACTCCTTTGAAGATCATGTCGTTAAGTTATACCACCCACCCCTCTTCACTTCAATCATCCACCAACCCCTTACTTACCCCTTCTCATTCATTGAAGCTGTCAACACTGGGCTCATTTTCTTTTTCATCTCTACTCCTGTCGCTGTTTTTGGTAACTTCAGTAACCAGGTGGATAATCCTCTGTTATTTAATTTTACTCTTTTGAAATGATCTTTTTCTCCTCTCCAATCAACCTCAACCAATCAAACCTTCGTGTAATCTTGACATTGACATCATCATTAATTGTATCACCTCTGAAATCTCCATTCTAAGCAGTCCCGTTATCCCCTTCCATATTCCCTGCTTAGGTACTCTAATACCCATGGCTGTAGGAACCATGCATAAACCAGTTAGTGGAACGTATCTGTGTTGAGGATCTTTCTGCAGAACTCTAGACTTGTGTGCCCAACTGCCTTATGTCTCCAGTTGGACATCTAATAGTCTTTCAAGCCTTTCATGATCCCTCCAAGCTTTTTTTTCATCTCCAGTCTCTAGCCACCCAATTCATTAGGGCAAAAACATAGGTTATCCTTGATTTTTCTCTTCCCCCCACTCCTATGCCTGTCCCCAATCCAACAGAAAATTCCACTGACTCTACCTGCAAAATACCTTCACTTCTCTGTATAGTGACTTCTTTTTTAAAAAAAATCATTATTGTTGAAAATATTACAGATGTACCCCCAATTATCTCCCCATTGCCTTCCTTCACCCAAATACCCCCTTCACCCTTCTATTGTTGGTGTCCATGGTTAATGCATTTATGCATATAAACTCTTTGGTTAATCTCTTTCTGCTCCCCTCCCCCTCCCCTCTGTGATTCATCAATCTGTTCCAATTTCCATGCCTCTGGTTCTATTTTATTCATTAGTTTATTTTGTTCATTAGGTTCCTTGTTTGTTTATTTTTATATTCAATGATTGACAGATATGTATTTATTGCCATTTTATTGTTCATATTTTTATTTCTTCTTCTTTTTCTTCTTCTTCTTCAAGACCCTTTAACATTTCATGTAATACTTGTTTGGTGGTGATGAGCTCCTTTAGCTTTTTCTTGTCTGGGAAGATCTTTATCTGACTTCAATTCTAAATGATAGCTTTGCTGGATAAAGAATCTTGGTTATAGGGCCTTGCTTTTCATCACTGCATATTTCTTGCCACTCCCTTTTGGCCTGCAGAGTTTCAGTTGAGAAATCAGCTGACAGTGGTATGGGCCCTTTTTTGTAGGTAACTAACTGCTTCTCTCTTGCTGCTTTTAAGATTCTTTCTTTGTCTTTAACTTTTGGCATTTTAATTATGATGTGTCTTGGTGTGGGCTTCTTTGGGTTCATCTTGTTCAGAACTCTGAGCTTCCTGGAGTTGTATGTCTATTTCTTTCACCAGTTAAGGGAAGTTTTCTGTCATTATTATTTTTTCAAATAGGCTTTCAATTTCTTCTTCTTCTTCCAGCACCTCCATGATGCAAATGTTGGTATGCTTGAAGTTGTCCCAGAGGCTCCTTACACTATATTCATACTTTTGCTCTTCTGATTGGGTGTTTTTTGCTTCCTCATATTCTAAATTGCTGATTTGATTCTTGACATTCTCTACTCTACTATTGATGCTCTGTAAATTATTCTTCATTTCATTTAGTGTATCCTTCATTTATGACTGGCCCTTTTCTATGTGGTTGATGTTCTCACTAAATTTCTTAAAGTTCTCATTAAGTTTTGTGAACATCCTTATAACCATTGTTTTGAACTCTGTATCTGGTAGTTTGCTTGCTTCCATTTCATTTAGTTCTTTTTCTGGTGATTTCTTCTGTTCTTTCACTTGCAATATGTTTGTGTTTTTGTCTTTGTTGTTTTGTCTCCACATTTTGGCCACTTTCCTGTGTTTGTTTCTATTTACTAGGTAGATCTTCTGTGTCTCTTGGAATTGGTAGAGTAGCCTTGTGTAGTAGGTGTCCTGTAGGGCTAGCGGCTCAGCCTGTCCATCACCTGAGCTGGACACTCTAGGTGTACCCCTGTGTGGGCTGTGTGCACTGTCCTGTTGTAGTTGATCCTTGATTATAAGACAGGAATTTCACTTCCTAGGAAATATGTATGTCTTTCTCTAAAGCTCATGTTCTTATACTGATAACCAAGGGTATTGGATACATGAGAAGGCTCATTAGGGCTGGTACATTAAATGTATTAAAATCCTGCTCCTGAGGAATGCAGAGGTGTGGGACCCTATGTCATCTGCTCTAGGTTTGCACAAGGATTTCCCACCCACAAATCAAACTGATTTGCAATCCTTGAAGGAAATCTGGAGAGTTCACTGTATTACAGGAAATAAGGTGTTTTAGAGTAAGTGGGGCATGTCCTGAAATGCTGACCTGTGTCTTTCTACAGGTCTAGCTTTCCTGCCTGCCAGCGTCTCCTACCTCATTGGCACCAACCTCTTTGGTGTGTTGGCCAACAAGATGGGTCGGTACGTATATGGGGGATCTGGGAAGAACAAGAGAAATGTAAGGTAGGACAGACTTTTGAGGATGTTCCTGCACATGAGATGATGAACAAATTCCCTGAGGTTGAAAGTTTAGTACAAGTACACGCAGACAAAAAATGCCCACTGTGAGCATGGGGCTGGTTAGGTGGTGAGAGCCGTAAGGAGAAAGGATGGTCCTGCGCTGGTTGCTGTAGAAAAGGCAGGAATATTTGAGGGACAATCTTTACTTTCCAGATGTTTATTGTTCAATTGAAAAGATAAAATAACCCCACAGAGAACAAGTATGAAAAAAAGCAGTTCTCTGGGTCAGTGTTTCCAAACTGTGTTCCATGAAGCCCTCAGAGGCCACCAAGGGTTGAGGACTAAGAGGTATCAGTCTGAATCCTGTTCCTCTATAATAGTAAGAATAGCTTTAATTTTATCTTTGTAGTGCAGTATAAAGATTTTTAAAATAACTTTTGAAAACAGAGAAAAGAATGAAAGAAGTTTGATTATGGTTTTTTGTGTATGTGGTTTCTGAGATGAATCTTGAAGACCACATGAAATATGAATACAGGAGTGGTTGTCTGAATTGGGAAACAGCAAGAATCAAGTTTGAGCGTTACTTCCAAGGGGGCAGTGCCTTCTCAGTCAACTGGTTCCCCTTCTTCAGGAAGGGAGAATAGTTACCATTACCTCCTCTGCTTCTATATGGAAAAAAGTATGCAGTCAGGAAAGAGATGGGGGAAGGAAAGGACAGAAAAAGGGCTCACCTGGATACAGTCTGGTCATGTAGAGATGCATTCATCTTCTGACATCCTACTGGGTTCTGGAATTAGGAGTGGTAGGACTAGCCAGTGTGGTGGTGATGAGGTGGCAGGTGGAAGGGATCTCTCCTTTTGGCATCATTTAACGACAGCTCTTTTTTCCCAGATGGCTTTGCTCCCTGATTGGCATGGTGGTAGTAGGTACCAGCTTGCTTTGTGTAAGTATAATAAGGTCTAGTTGGTACAGACAGAGAAAGAAAGAGAGAGACACCAAGAAATTTAAACACCACTTTCCTTTAAAGTGAGCAGAGGGTGGACTTGGCAAGGACTGTCAGAAAGGCCATTTCTGCCTAAGTAGGAATTTAGCACCGAAAGAGATGCCACCAGGCATCCCATTAAAGAGAGGTAAGGAAAGAGAGGGAGAGGGCAGTGGGGGGGTTAGAGACGGAAGTCTGAGGCTCTGTGTATGGACATATGAAGCAATACATGTTGGTATCTATTTCTGGGGCCAGCAAGATGGTGCATTTTATGGCTTCATTTATTCATCCCATCTTGACAGAACCCCATAAGCCACTAGGTGAGCCATTATCTGTGCCTCAGCCTCCAGGACCAGAATATTAGATAGAAGAGGAAAGAAAGAAAGAAGGGCTTTTCCATTTTCAAGAGTCCCTTCAAGCTCTCTAAGCTGTTATTGTCTCCTCTTCATAATGGAGACCATAAGCACACTTACAGGGTTGCCAAGGCAATCCACATAGACCACAGCAGTGTCTGGCATATAGTGAGCCCCAGTGAATCTTAGCCAATATTATTAATAAAATATAAATACCCCTTGAGGAATCTTTCCCAAAGTTATTATCAGCCATTAATATCAAAATGATACATTAAACCCTCTGAGGGGTGAGTGTGCTGAAGTAGCAAGTTTGGGTGACAGATGCCCAGGGAGGAAGGTAATGAACCAGCAGAAGAGGAAAGGAAGGCTTCCATGGATGACAGGGAGGGTGAGAGAATGAGCTTCACAGGCTTGTTTGTATCTCCTCTCTTTCTTGCTCCAGTGGCTAAGAGTTAAGACTGGATGATGTTGCTAACAGAAATGAGAGGAACTCCATTCAGTGAAGAATGAGGATAGAAGTGTGCGTTTGGGTGGAGGGGGCAGAGAACAGGGAGGAAGAATCCATGCAACAGAAAAGGACCATTGTTATGAGATAAAGCAGTCGAATCTGAGGTTCACCATTGATCTTGCCCCTTATTAGCTCTGTAACTTTGGACAGATCGAACAGTCTAGTGTTCATATCTTTAAAATGGAGGTAAAGAGTCTTCTTCACAGGAAGTGTGAGAATCCAAACCGGTGGCACACGTGGCACAGAGCACGTGAGTGCATATCATGGGAAAATGCTTTGTTGTGCTGCCTGCACGTGACCCAGCTAGACTCCTGATGAACTCTCCCTCTTTTCCTACCGCAGGTTCCTCTGGCTCGTAATATTTTTGGCCTCATTGGTCCCAATGCAGGGCTTGGCTTTGCCATAGGTAAGAAGTGCCCTTAAAGCAGTGGTTCTCAACCTGTGGGTCGCGACCCCTTTGGCCGTTGAACGACCCTTTCACAGGGGTCGCCTAAGAACATCCTGCATATCAGATATTTACATTACAATTCATAACAGTAGCAACATTACAGTTATGAGGTAGCAACGAAAATAATTTTATGGTTGGGTCACAACATGAGGAACTATATTTAAAGGGCCAGTAGGTTGAGAACCACTGTCTTAAAGGAAATAAGAAAAATCTAAATGTTGGCTTTGGGTCACACCAGAGGAGGTCTATGGAAAGGTAGAGGGACGAGGAGGGCAGCTGGCAGGGGTATGGAGAGATGGGCTCATATTCCTACCTGGAATGGGTGTCATGTTGAGTGGGGGGACAGCAGGCTAAGGAAGTGGACTAAAGGGGGGAGGGGAAGGGAAGATGCACAGACAGGGAGGAGCCTGGGGGTATTGCTGGCAGAAGGTATTCTGTTTGCTCTGGCCACAGGCATGGTGGACTCCTCTATGATGCCCATCATGGGACACCTGGTGGACCTGCGCCACACCTCTGTGTATGGGAGTGTCTATGCCATCGCTGATGTGGCCTTTTGCATGGGCTTTGCTATAGGTAAGTTGGTGAGGGGAAAGGGGAGCACCCAGGACCTGGTGTCCCGTCTCCCTTTTCCACTGTTTACCAGGGGAAGTGGCGCTGGGAGACTGATCCTCCCCGGGTTCTGGAGACATTTGACCCTGGGACATCCTCTGGGTCACCTGCTGACCCTCATTGGTGTCTTCAATAAACACTGGTGACTTTGGCTTATCTCTCACAGGCCCATCCACTGGGGGTGCCATTGTGCGTGCTATCGGTTTCCCCTGGCTCATGGTCATCATCGGAGTCGTCAACATCATCTATGCTCCTCTCTGCTGCTACCTGAGGAGGCCCCCAGCCAGAGAGGAGAAGCTTGTAAGGGGCTCTGACAGCTGCTGAAAACAATCTTGTTTCTTTCCACGTCTCTCTCATTCCTTTTCACTCTGTGCTCTTACTTCCTCCTGGTTTAATCGTTCCTCTGCTTTGCCAAGTGTTCTGATCCCCTTTTCATCTTTATCTCTCCTTTGTGGACTTCCTTACTCTCCCTTCTCTACATAACCACTTCCTCTCTTACACCGGGCAGGTAAGCAGGGTCCTACGTAAACAAGGAAAACGGGAAGTTTGCAAAGAGTTGGGAGCAGGGACCATCAAAGGCATTTTATAGTTGCTGTAGTTACTAGCAAAGCGTGAATTACCAAATTATCTCCCTAAAATGGATAGAATTCCACTGGGTTCATTCATTCATTCATTTGTGTCTACCATGATCCTTACCAGGTCATCTCAAACTATCAAAACTGTAGGGGAGAGAACCACCACATATGATGATTTTAGTTGACAAGATACTTTCCTCTTATTGAAGTATGAGCACCCTGAGGGCACGGATGGGTTAGGGATGGATGTGGTGGCTGCTCAAAGGAACAATAGAAGAAAGGTCTGATTGGGCGGGGAAGGGGTAGTATGCCGATTTCAGCTGTAGCCTGCACTACCGTTCTATTAGGATTCAATTACAAGGTATCAAATGTTTACCTTGACTAGGGTTGCTACAGCTAGGTGCCTTGGGAGGCCTGGCACGTACATGAAGCAGAAAGAGGGTCCTATGCTTGTTCCTTGAGTCTTTCCTGAGCAATCCTAGACTTGGATGAGCTAGCTGGGAAGGGAATGAAGAGACTGAGTAAAGATATTCAGTGATTTCTCTTCCTGCCTCTTGCTGCAGGCAATTCTGAGCCAGGAATGCCCAATGGAGACCCGGATGCATGCAGTCCAGACGTCCGTGAGGGCATTTCCCCTGGGGGAGGACAGCGATGAGGAGCCTGGCAGTGAGGAGCAGCAGCAGAAGGTGGTCCCTGAGCCTGTCACATGTGGTTCTATGAGGCTCAGACCTCAATGATCACCTCTTTCCCTGGAACCAGATCACCATGGGCCGCTCAGCAGGCCTCATTTCCCTCTCCCCTGGTGTCTCTCAACCTCCCTCTCATGGATGCCAGCCCAGGTTCTCTCCTCACCCGTGTAACCCACAGCTCCCCCTCTCACTTCGATGCCTCAGGTGGCCCATCTTTTTTGGGAGGACAGAGTGATGCTTTCTCCTAGGCTTCTGGGAGGCTGATTAAACCTGCACGATGACAGGTTCTGCAAGGTGTGAGTCATTTCCTGGAGGCAGCAAAGAGCACCCCCTGAAACCAGTAGGGTGACTGACAAACCTCATTTCATCTGTTGTCTGGTTTTCTTTGGCACGTCCCCAATAGATTCTCAGGGCTTTGTGCTCTGTTCCTCCCCGAGTTTTCCCGGCCAAGTTGAGAAAGCTTCCTCAACATGGCACTGCCGCTAAGTTGCCAACCTGGGAAATCTTTTGCCTGATTTGTAGTGTTTTCCCTGTGGCAGAGCCTACAGCTGCTAATGTGACTTTTTCCTCAGTGAATGGAGGAGTCTTTTTTTCATTACCACATGGAAAGGAAAGAGCCTGTTTCTCCTACGCTTGAGTTACTGGGCATTCTCACTGTTCCCTCTGTGGACTTCCACCTTCCCTAAACCTCTTCGACTCTGAGAAATAAAAGTAGGAGGACAGAAAACTATCTACTACTCCCAAGATTTCATGGGAAAAAGTACAGAGCAGCTGCCCTAAAGTCCTTCCAATGGTGGATTTCCTAATTCTTTCCTGAGGATCCTAATGAGGCATTGTTCACACTTGTTGATGAATGTGTTATTGCATAATTCCGACATGGTAAACTAGATGCTCTTTTATAGCAAAGAAAACCTGTGGGCAAATACATTTGGGACTATAAACATTTTGACTTTTTGCTACTTTTTAAAAAACAATTATTGAGCAATGGGGTTTCAAGGACACATATGTAATACCTTAATCAATAAAGAAAAAAAAAGAGATGGGAGACATGACACTCACTCTTAAGTAGCTTCCCATTTTTTTGGTCAAACAGGGTATGCACAGTGTAACAATGGGCAATACTGTAAGTTAGTGTCCACTCTCTTCATGTACAAAGAGACAGGGATGCTCATGGTCTGGGTGGGGAATAATAGCGAGATGGAGGCAGAGGCAGCAATGGGAAGACCCACAGGTGCAGGCTGCAGGGTGCCTGGGTATCAGACTGGGGTGTTCAGGCTTGACTGTGGCATGCTGCCAGGCTCTGATTATGCACATCTGTGTAGGAGTTTGGTGGGGTCAGTACAAGCTCCAACTCATCAGAACACATTCAAGCTGAACCTCAGTGAATCTTATCACCTGGACAATGGATGACTGGTTTATGGATATGTTTTTAGGGGGGTGGCATTAACTAGAGTCGCCTGATATGAAAAGTCCAGGTGCTTATATCGTCATTTAGTCAGGATGATAATTGTCTCATTTTGAAGGAGCTTAATGATAAAATTAGGAAATCATTTGTCAAAATATGTAAGCTGTAGCTACAGATGCAGGCTGAGTGGAGGTCCCTGTGACTGCTGTGCAAAAGAGGAGTGGGTTGGGGGTCGGAGGGGTCCGGGGCACTGAGAATGGGTCACCGCTGATTCTCACACCCACGTGGAGGAGGATTTATAATACAGGATGGGCCTGTTACAGAAATTGTTACACATTGAAACAATTAAGAAGATCTTTAAAAAGAGAAAGTCATTCTTGACTTGCCAGTTAACATTGTTGGAGCAATATAAAACATATTTAGGGAGAAACCAATAGATATAATTTATTCAGACAAGAGTGAACACCAAATGCAAGGTATTCCGGAGATGCTTTTTATTGTTGATCAGAAATAGGTTATAAACATAGCCTGTGTATGAAACCTATCAGAAGGAGAATCACATAAAAACAGACAATGGAATTTGTCTTTATTAGTAACTTTACAAATGCCATGAAGAAAAGAATGCATGGTACACTTCCCACATTTACAGATGACACAAAATTCTTCTAAAAATGAAAATACCAACCCAGTGAGAATGAGCCACAAGAAGGTTTTTTGTTTTATTTTATAAAAGTAGCATAACTTGTCCGATGGCCTCCACTGTGAGGAGGTTGAGGATATACATTTCCCTTTATGGAAGCGAGGCAGTGTGGAGATTCTAAATATGCTCATAGGGTGAGAGGCTCTGAATCACCAATTACAGTGCAGCAAAGAAGACAGTGGAACGAATGAGCATATTGAGCGTTCTCAGAGTGTCGGAAACAAACCAGAAGACATTTTATTTCCCAAGTGCAGAACCTGGGGTGGAAGCCACGGCACCAGAAGTTAAGGCCGTAACCATGGAGTCAGAGAAAATGCAGAGGGGGCATGTGAGATGATGAGTGGGCAGTGTGGAGAGACACAGGAAAGTCCTCACAGGGTTTCAGCATCGCCGTTGAGAAGTTTGGTGCCATTAGATTCTAGATCCTTTGAATGGGATCTGCTGATGCTGTTGGCTTTTAGGATCTCATATCAAGTCTTCTGAAATCTATATATATAAAACCCTAATATGCAAATAGACCGGACAGCGAACAATTGAACAACTGAACAACCGGTCACTATGATGTGTGCTGACCACCAGGGGGTGCGCATGGAACATGGCAGGCGTCGGCCACGGCAGATGGTGGAGCAGGTGAATGGGGGTGCCAGACCAAGGCGGAGCACCGGTCGCTGTGATCGGGGCGAGCCTCTGGTGGTTACTGAAAATTCTTTGCTCCCTCACACCATGGTCCCACCCAGCTCTTGCACCCGCTGCCGGTGACAGCCCCACTCACACCTGCAGCCGGTGCCAGCCTGAGTTCCTCTGCACCATCAGTGGGTGCGAGCCCACTGCAGTCAGCACATGGGAGTGGCGGTGATGGGAGTGGGGCTGCTGGCAGACAGGGGATGGGGGCGGAGGGGGGCGCAGTGGGAGGGGCCAGGTGGGGGCATGGAGGATGGGCCAAGACCCGGGCCTGTGCCCACCACAGCCTCGAGGCCCACAGTTCCTTTCAAGGTGCACAAATTTGTGCACTGGGCCCCTAGTTTCACAATAATGACTCTTGGTGGAGGGTTTTTAATTCATTGTGCTGCAAACCAATAGACCCCTTCAATTTAGAAAATCATGTTCTTTTGTTCTAGGAATTTTACTGTGAGATCTCCTTCATAATTTCTTCTATGTATGCCTTTTGCTTTCTCTTTTCCAAATATTTTAATTTATTTCTGAGAGGAAGGAAGAGGGAGAAAGATAGAAAGATCAATGATGGGAATCTTTGATTTGCTGCCTCTTGCAAACCCTCCACTGGGGATAGAGCCCATAACCTGAGCATGTGTCCTGACTGGGAATCAAACCACCTGTGACCTCCTGGTTCATAGGTTGACTCTCAACCACTGAGCCACACCAACCGGCTGCCATTTTCTTTCTTTGTGGAAATCCTATTTGTTGGCCGTGGGCTTCTTGGATTGATTGTTTTTCTTTCCTTTTCCTTCTATTAATTCTTTGAACTTAATTTGTTCTGCTCTCTGAGAGATTTTTCTCAATTCTACATCCAGCTGGTCTTTGTAATATATATATATTTTTCATTTTAACTATAATTTATAAGAGATTTCCAATTTTTTATACCCTTCTAATCTCATTTCATGGTTGCAATATTTTTTTCTCTCTCTCAGAGTGGGTCAAATTATTTTCTGCTCCTTGCATTTGTATGTTTCCTTGGTTCTGGTGTTGGCTTGTTTGAGCTGTTTTCACTATGGAGACTTTCCTTTGAAAAGCTCCTGGAACTATGATGACAGGGCTGTGAACACCTGGGGTGAGCTCTTTTATGGAGAGCTCACCAATATCAGTGTCTGTTGGTCTTGTCTCTAAATTTCTCAATGCAAACACTTCCTGCTGGTGTGGGGGATGGATGAAGTTAACATATTTTGGAGCAAACTGGTTTAAGGGGGTTGGGGCGGGCAGTGGATTTCGAACTCGTCACCCTCATTGTATTTCCTGTAGAAGTGGAGTTCTTACACAGAGTTGCAAGAAAAGCATTTTGGGACCCACGCATGGGTTAAGACTTATTGGAGCAAACACAAAGGACTCAAAGAAGAGTCCCCAGGTGTCGGGTGTCTCATTCACTACCAGATGGATCAGGTGGCTCAGCTCTGTCCCACTGTGGAAGAAGTCCAGCCTTGTCTTCACCAAGCCTAGAAGAAGGGCCAGAGTCTAGAGATGTGCCATTACCTCACAACGGCAGTGCATCTGAAGCTGCCATAGCTCAATTTAGTCCATGACAAAGCTTAGTCCAGCTCATTCAGCTAGTCCCCATCCGGCTAGTTTAGTCTCTTCCCGGCTGCACTCCATCTGGCACCTTGCTTGCATACATAGGCCCACCCTTGGAGCCCACCCAAGCTTGGGCTTGAGAGGCTGCTGCAGAGAGAGAACATGCATGAATGGGCAAATGCGACGGGCCTTTGTTAAGCTTTGATTATATTACCTCGGGTTTGGGAAGGGGTAAGTTTAGTTTCTTGCTTTGCTGTTTTTAAAATTTTTATTTATTGATTTTAGAGCAAGAGGAGGGGAGAGAGAGAGAGGGAGAGAGAGAGAGATTTGTTGCTCTGCTTATTATGCATTCATTGATTGATGTTTGTATGTCCTCTGGGGATCAAACCTGCAACCTTGGAATATCAAGACGATGCTCAAACCAACTGAGCTACCCTGCCAGGGAGGTCTTCTTTCAAACTAGCCAATCTCTTTCCTGGCTCTTTGTGGGCTTGTGCCTTTCTGTTGGGGTTTTGTGTCCCTTATTTAATCCAATTTCCCCCCAGTTAGATGCCTCCCTCTTATGGTCACCATCTTGGCTCCTACTTCGCGTGTGCCCGGCAGAGGAATTTCCCCTTTACTCCAACTCCCCCTACCCTCTCTGCCAATAATCTGCAGGGAACAGACCAGAGGTTCCCTGGGGAGATTAGAAAGCTTGTCATT